TTGAAGAGCACCATTTTGTGCAAAAGCTTTACCACACTGATTACATTCATAGGGTTTCTCTCCAGCATGTGGTCTTCTATACATTTGAAGATTATTGTGACATACAAAGACTTTATTTACCAAATTGGTTACATTCATAGGGTTTCTCTTTAGTATGTGTTTTTTCATGCCTTTGAAGATCACCATAACATAAAAAGGCTTTACCACATTGATTATGTTCATAGGGTTTCTCTCCAATATGTGTTCTTTTATGAATTTGAAGACTTTTGTGATGTGCAAAGGCTTTACAACACTGATTACATTCACTGGTTTTCCCTGCAGTATGTAGTCTCTTATGCCCTTGATGCTGCTTATCACATCCTAAGTCTTTACAACATTGAGTATATACAGAAGGTTTCTCCCCAGGTTGGCTTCTTTCAAGCCTATAAAGATAAGTGGCTCTTGTAAAATCTTTACCATAATCAATATGCTGTTGACTCTTTATATCTCTAAGAATTAATTTTACAATTTGTTCCAACTCGACAGAGGAATCCGATTTTAAGGTTTCACCACTGTGTTTACACTTATGTGGTATTTACACCATCCTAGAACTCAAGACTTTTCTACAGAGTGAGTTTATTGATATATTAACAATGAAGCTAGAAAATGAATTATTTGTATACTTAAATCAATTTTAACAAATATATTCAATGTGGGGACTGCTACTTTTCTTCTAACTGCTCTGAGAGAGAGAGAGGCATCTCATGTGTTTCCATATTCCTATGCCCATATGGCTTGTATACAGAGTGACATATGATATACCTATTAAAGGAATAATAACAAATAAAAGATTTCCACTTTGAATTCAGTTCGACTTTCTGCCCGCATAAACTTGTGGTATAGGAATTAAAGTTTCTCCACAATTTTGCTTGATTCTTGACTAGAACTGCTCCTCTAAATAAACAGCACAGTCACAGCAATTATAAGAGCAGTAGTAGCTTTAGTATGGACTTTTTGCTTACTAGAATGTTTTAAAGATATACTTATCACCTCTTCACTGTGTATAAGTTTTATAATATGAGTAGGATGAAACAAATAGATTGGCAGTTCTATAGCATATCTCTTACAGTGATATGATTCAAATGGTTACATCTCAACCATTTTTTCCTTGTCTTCTTTATTAAAAGAATGGCTTGCAAATACAATTCACATACCTAAAATTGAGGTTTATGCTTTTGTGAGAATTTAATGATCATCCACGCACTTTAAGTGGTTCTTATTTACACTGATGCTTTTGTTTAAATCTTCCAGGACATGTTACAATTCCTTCAGAGGCACATTTGTTTTAGATTGAACATAAAAATTACCTTTCATGTCTTCTAGTGCTTTGACAATATTCTCTGATATTGAGGTCTTTCCAACTGTATCCTATAATGGTGAGGTTCCTGTAGGTCTCCAGCATCACATCTTTGCAGAGATTCTTCTGGGAAGAATCCAGCAAAGTCCACTCTTCCCAAGTGAAACCAACATGCACATCATCATAGGTCACTGCATTCAAGTGATGGTTTCCCAGCTTGGCCATGCTCTCGGCTCAGCTCACTGAAGCAGGACTCATAGCACACCACACAAAACTGCTGGAACCCGAGAATTTTGTTTTTGTTAATTCTTAGAACCATTTAATAAGATTACAGATTTAAGTTTTAGGTCCCTCTACCCTTTGTACTATTATAACATAGAATTAGACCATTATAGCTAATGCCCCAGTGGCAGAACTTCCATTCTGTCTGGCAGTGAGCTATTGGCACTACTGAATTTCTAATGATCAGTAACCGACA